GGGGCGTCCCCTGGGCGTGGAGTTCCAGGAGAGCCTGGGGAGCTGCCCCACTGCGGCCAAGAGTGAGACCGGGCCTGAGGCCTGGGGGCACCTGGGAACCAGCTCCCGGTGCCGGTTGGGGGGTGAGGGGGGCGCAACTCTGTCCTCAGAGAACAGCCTGCGTGAGGCCGATGGCCACGGAGAGGCCCGGCTTCTGCTGGCTCCCCAAGCGGGTTTCCGAGTGCCACGGCGCCCCTGCCGCGAGGGGACTGGCCCGTGTGGTCACAGGAAGCTGAGGGGACCGGCCACGTGTGGTCACGGTAGCTGAGGGGACTGGCCCGTGTGGTCATGGAGCTGAGGGGACCGGCCGCGTGTGGTCATGGTAGCTGAGGGGACTGGCGTGTGTGGTCACGGGAAGCTGAGGGGACCGGCCGCGTGTGGTCATGGTAGCTGAAGGGACCGGCCACGTGTGGTCATGATAGCTGAGGGGACCGGCCACGTGTGGCCATGGTAGCTGAGGGGACCGGCCACGTGTGGTCATGGTAGCGAGGCCCTGCAACCCCCGGGCGGGGAGAAGCCTTCAAGGAAACAGATTAAATCCCAGCAGCGAAGGAACCTGCCCTGACCTGCAGGGAAGGCTTCATGGAGGAGGCAGATGCCGGGGCTGGGGCTGGGGCACCGCTGGGCGGTGGGGACCAAGGGAAGGGCCTGAGGGAGGGGGAGCCGGGCCGCAGGGTGTGGACGGGACGCCGGGCCGGCAGGAGGAGGGGAGAGGGGCTGAGGACAGTGCCTAGCTGGGGTGTCCCCGCCAATTAATTCCCTGAGGGGTGACACCAGCGTCCCCCAACATCGCGAGGGGAAGGAGGTGCCGTGGGCCCAGACCCGGGGAGGGTGCCCGGCTCCCAGCCCCTCACACCAGCCCCCCAGCTGGGGGTCCAGCCTCTTCGATGGCCCGAGCTTCGTGGGGAGTCACATCCCCGGAGCGGGCAGCGCGGCCTCGGAGAAGCCCTCGGCTTGAGGCAGAGTGATCGGAGGTGGGGGTGGGGTGCTGTGCCTCGAGGGGTCCCACGTGGGACACTCCGCCCCCAGCTCATTGTGGCCGCA